AATACTTCTGTTAGTCTCAAAGGTGCCACAGGACCCTCTGTTGCTTTGTATAGTGGAGGGTGCGGAGAGCCATTGCACCAAACTGTAAACCCTGTACGTGATTGAAACCATTTCAAGCCAGAGGAGTGCAGCATCACCCTGAGTACCAGCACCTAGGAAAACACAAGGCTGCCAAGATTTTTTCAGCAGCTGGAAGCAATGTTTGACCTGCCTCTGAACAATCGGATGATGCAGTTCTCCCACGGAAAGCGCACAGAAGGGAGTTTGCAGTCAGCCTCCAATTGTGGATTCCACGCTACCTGTGGTGCTAGACAGCCAGCTGGTGGGGCCGCTAATAGAGGCTTATCACCCTTCTACCCCACGGGGGGATTTTGTTTTGCTTAATGGAATGTTCCTAGAATCATAGGACTGGAATAGACCTCGAGAGGTCATCTAGTCCAGTCCCCTGCACTCATGTGGGGGCCCCAGTCACAGCACAGGCCCCCCATTGTGCTAGGCATTGTACAAACATAGAGACAGCCCCTGCCACAAGGACCTTACAACATAAGATGCAACACTGGTTACATTTTACATTGATAGCAGCCTTTTCCTGCTTGCCCCCATTCTGCCAATCATGCTTTGGAGCAGCGGTTCTCAAAAAGTGGGTCGCGACCCCCTTTCAATAGGGTCACCAGGCTGGCATTAGACTTGCTGGGGTCTGGAGCGGAAGCCAAAGTCCAAGGGCTTCAGCCCTGGGTGGCAGGGCTCAGGTTACAGGCAGGGGCTGAAGAAGCCCTTGGGTTTTAGCCCCTCTGCCTGGGGCAGGTTCAGGCTTCGGTCCCCCCGTCCTGGGGTCATGTGTAATTTTTGTTGTTAGAAGGGGGTCACGGTGCAATGATGGTTGAGAACCGACGTCCTAGAGGAATGCTCCCTAAACATCTGGCCTGCTACCTAATTTTCCTCCTGGAAATCCCTCCTTCAGCTTTTCCAGTGATGCGACGACACCTCGACATCCCTGAAAAGGGGGAGAGCG